CCCCCCCCCTTGGAGAAGCACAAGTGTCCGGCTTTGCACCCCACAAAGCTCTCGAGGTTTCCCCCCTTCCGGACAGGGGCGACGATAAAACGACCGCCGTTGCTACCAAACAGGAGAAGCAATTGTGTGTGTGTGGGTGTGTGGGTGAGTGTTTCCACCAAAAGGGCAGTGAGCGTCGGCGAGCGGTCGGGCCGAAAGGAGGACTTAGGCAGAACGGCATTTCCTTGGGCTTCGGCTTCAAAAGCCACGGATCTCTCCGCGAAGCAGAGGAGTCTGGAGGAGAGCAAGGGTAGGAACGGCCCTTTCTGACGCAGGCGAGCGGAAGGTTCGTCGGAAAGAAGCCTAACCTCCGATCTCGCCGGACTGGAGACCACCTAGAGAGCTCTCTCTCTCTCTCTGTCTCTCCTTGCCTTGCTGCCAACGAAAGGCAGAGTACTCAGCTGGGCTTGTTTGGAGCCTTTAGCCGGACGGGCGCTCTCATCTGCACTTTCGTTGGCTGGCTCTGCCCGTCGGGCGGGGCGGGCGCCTGGCCAGGGTTCGGCACGACCGAGGCTTGGATCTGGGGGGAGGCGGTGGTCACCACTTGCTGTTGGATCAGTTTCTGGGGGACGACCTGAGCTGTGGCGGTGGTGGCTGGAATGACCTGGACTTGGTGTTGCCCCGCGGTGGTCTGGGACAAGGTGACCGTTTGGGGCTGAGCTTGAACCTGGTGGGGGGAGAGCAAAGAGGAGTGAGAAGTGAGCCAGGTGGGTACAGGTGGAGGTTCCTTTTCCCTGCGGGCGAAGCGCAATAGATAGTTGGGGGGGGGGGGGGGGGTGTCGGCTGCAGGAATGCCGGTGTGGCGTGAAGTTGTGCCTTCTGGAGGAATCATGCTTGGCTTTTATACATGAATGACAGAGTTGGAAAGGACCTTGGGGTCTTCTAGTCCAACCCCTCCTTAAGCAGCAGACCTTATAGGCTGACTCAGCCTTCCATCCTTCCCAGGTGGGTCAAATGAGGAGCCAGATTGTTGGGGGCACGAGGCTGACTCTGTAAACCACTTAAAGAGGGCTGTAAAGCACTATAAAGCTGTATATAAAGTGCTCTTGCTTTCTTCCTCTCTTCCTTCCTTTCATCCATCCATCCATGCACGGTGCACTGTGGTTAGAGTGCAGTTCTGCAGGCTGCTTCTGCTAACTGCCGGCTGACTGCAATTTGGCAGATGGAATCCCACCAGGCTCAAGGCTGATTCAGCCTTCCATCCTTCTGAGGTGGGTAAAATGAGGACCCAGATTGTTGGGGGAAACGGGCTGACTCTGTACACTGCTTAGGGAGGGCTGTGAAAGCACTATGGGGTAATATATAAGTCTAAGTACTACTGCCCTTGCTTGCTTCCTTCCCTCCCAGTGGTTAAAATGCAGTATTGCAGGTTAACTCTACCCATAGCAAGGGGTTCAATTCTGACCAGCTCAAGGTTGAACACTCAGCCTTCTATCCTTCTGAGGTCAGTAAAATGAGAAGCCAGTTTGTTGAGGGCAAGAGGCTGGCTCTGTAAACCGCTTAGAGAGGTCTGTATAGCACTGTGAAGCGGTAGATAAGTCTTAAGTGTATTGCTATCCTTCCTTCCTCCCTTCCCTTCCCTTCCCTTCCCTTCCCTTCCCTTCCCTCCCCCCCCCCCTCCCCTTCCTTCCTTCCTTCCTTCCTTCCTTGGCACACCTAGTAGAGGCAACAGGTTCTAGGAAACCTTACCTGTTGGGAAACTGAAACCACCTGCTGGATGTTAGCCACCGCTGCTTGTTGGGAGACCACCTGTGGGATCTTGGCAACCTTTAAGAACAAGATATTAGGACAGATGGGTTGGTGGGTGCACAGTTCAACAACATACAGCAGGTTGATTGGTCTTCCGTCAACTCAAGCCAAGCCAAGCCAATGTTTATTACAGTCAAAGACCAGAGACCTTCCATCAGTTTTATGTGCACACCTGGCCTGTGGGTTCTTAACAGGTAATCCTCGACTTACAACTTGTTGTTTAGTGACCGTTCAAAGTTACAGTGGACCCCGAAAAAGGGACTTACAATCCAGATCTGAAGTTCCGACGGCCACTCTCTCTCCCCAAACACAGCCAGGTGCAACTGGCCCGTCTTTGCAACTGTTTGCAATCACGTGACCTCAATTGATGACTTTTTTTTTTTTTTTGGTAATCAGTACTGGATTCTGGTTTCCAGTTTGTTTTGTTTTTAAAGTGGCATTTTTTTAAAATTGCAACTTCTTCTATGTAATTAAAAACATGCTCGATTGTGCTGAAATGGATAGGCTGACACTGAGGATAAAAGATAAAGAAGGTACAGAATACTTTCAAACACGGGATTTATTCTATCAATGGTGGGATGACAGAAGTAGAAATTAAAAATTGGAGAAATACTATTACGTATGGTTTATGTTAAATATATTATTATTACTAGCTCGATACCTGTGCTTGGCTAGGACACTATGTGGTCGGGCTTAGTTTTTGGGGAGGAAAATAAGGGGAAAAA